TCTTCAGATTTGAAAAGCACAATTTTTCTTAGAAGGATAAACAAAGGAAATCTATAATCCAATTTATCACAGTGAAACTATTAAACACCAAAGACAGAGATATAGAATTCTGACAGAAGAGTGGGAAGAACTAATTCCGTTAAAATGTTGAGGAAAAGCAACTATTTACCAAGAACTATATAGCCAAAAAAAAAAAAAAAATTAAGAAAAATGGTAGAAGAACAGAGATTTCAGAAAACAACTGAATTTAAAAAGAAATGGATGCATTTTAGATAGAAGGAGAATGATTCCAAAAGGAAGGCATGGTTTTTAAAAAGTTGGTAAGCAAAGGAAATGGTAAACATGTTATGATGATGTCTGTGGTGAAGGCGTTAGGACAACACAAGATGGTAAATTTGCGACTGTGCATGTGCACATTTGCACGCGTGTGTGTATGTGTGTGTGTGTGAGAGAGAGAGAGAGAGAGAGATTGATTGGACTTTAGATGTCCTCTAATTTCCCCAAACTATTTAGAAGGTGGGTAAATACATTGATTTACTTCAGTCTTGTTAAGTAAAATATGCAATTAAAAAATGAGTAACCACTTAAGAGATTGCAGTATATAATTCCAAACTACAAAAGGAGAAGAAATAGGGGAAAAATCAATAAATGTAAAAGAAGACAAGAGAGGAGCAAAAGGAGTACAGCAAACCAGGACAAAGCAGGAAATAAGATGGTAAAAACACATTCATATATATTAGTGATCAGAAAAAAAGTAAGAAAGAAAGATTACTCTTGCCCAAGATGGAGTAATTTTATTAAACTATCAACAGAATGATTAGCTTTATTGATCTTATTTGATGTATCTTATACAATATGCTGTTTACCACATACACATCTTTAACCAAATGAGTAAGAATAGCCATAAGAGAAATGATACAAAATAGTGTATTAGACTTAGGTTAAATTAGAGAAAACTGGTTTGCCTTAGCTAATGATAAAGGATGAAGGGCCAGAAAGATACAATAATTCTAAACATACATAGATTGAGTATCATAGCTTAAAAATTTATTTCAGCAAGATTTCTACATCTAGAAGAAGAAACAGATAATATATCGACATAATTAGATATTTAAGCACACTGCTTTTAGCATGGGATAGATCAAGTAGATAAAACAAGTGATAGATAGGCTTGATCTAAAGCACATACATAGGATAAAATGGATAACTTTGACTCAACACACTTATTCTTTCCCAACTCATATGAATATTTATAAATCTGACCCATGTCATAAAGTGTAAGCCATAGAGCAAGTCTTAAACATTTTCAGATGACTGGTATCATTTGGACCACATTCTCTGTTCATAAGGTAATTGATTTGGGAATCACAAACATCAAATGCCTGTATATTTTGAAATAAAAAAGTCACTTCTAAGACAAAGGTATAAATACGCATTTTACAGAAAGCAGGAATCATCAATAAACATATGAAAGATTCTTGACATCATTAGATTTATAAAATGTAAATGAAGTTCTCAATGATACTTTTTAGTTCTAACAGATAGGCCTATTTTAAAAAGTCTGAAAATGCCAGACTTTAGTTGAGAGGGAAGTAAACATGTTCATAGCCCCAGCAGGTGGGAGTGCATATTAGTATAAACACTTTAGAAAACAATTAGCATGACATAGTGAGGTTGAGGATATTCAAACCTTTCAAATCTGCAGTTGCATTCCTGGGTATATATCCTTCAGAATTTCTTACATGTGTCATTGGGAGACTTGAACAAGAAAGTTTTCAACCACATCATTTGTAATATGAGAAAAGCTGGAAATTCTCTATCTGCCCTTCAGGACATATGTATTATGTATTGTAAAATATGTAGTCATTTTTTATTCTATTGGGGTGGTTGACTTTTTATCGATTTGAAAGTTTTTTCATATAAATAATATATTGAAGGTGGTCCTTACCCAATTTGTTCATCATTTCTGTTTTGTTTATGTTTTTTGTATAGAGGTTTTAAATATTTTATACATTGATATTTTGTATTACAACATTTATCTAAACGTTTAAAGTGATTTTTGTCATTGGTACTATGTTTAGATGTTTCTCAATCTCCAGGATTTTATTACTATTTTATTACATTTTCTTCCTATGTTTTTGCCCTCCCTCCCTCCCTGCCTGCCTGTCTCCCTCTCCCCTTTTCTTGTTTCCTTTTTTCTTTCTTTTTTTTTTAACAAACAAAGCTTTCTATAGAATGCATTTTGCATAAAGGGTAAAACAGATTCTATTCTCTTTCTTTTTTTCTGGAAAACAGTACATTCCATTCTAATATATGTTTTTTCACTGGTACCAAACTATTTACAGCAGTTCTAAACATTTTTGATATTTAGCTATATAAGGTGTTTCAAATATCTGGGAGAAAAATATCCCTTAAATAATCCATTTTTTGTCAAAAATTTTCTTCTTATTTTCATATTTATCTTTGCAAATGACTTCTTGAAATGGTTTTGCAAATTAAAGATATATTCTTGAAAGTTTTATTTGATATGACTATTTGAATAGGGGAGTTATTGATATTTTTATTATATTGATCTTTACTAGGAAATAATACACTATTCTTTTTTATTTATTTAAACTGTTTTTCATGTGTTTTCAGTGAGATTTGTAGACCTTTTTCCAATAATATCACATATTCTCATTAGATTTATCTACACATATTTTTAAATTTTGGCTGCTATTATAGATCGGTATTTTTTTTATTGTATTTTCTAATATTAGTCTTTAAGAAATCTGTTTTTCTTATTTTTGTTCCCCCAATTTATCATCACTTTGAACATTCTTACTATTTCTAATATATTTTCTGTTGGTTTTCTAATAATTATATCATCAGCTAATTATTGTCCTTGTGTCCTATCTATTCTAATACTTAACTTAAAATATGGCTAACAAAGCACTGATTGAATCAGTTACTTCTTTGGTAGAAATGTTACATTGGGGAGAAAAAACATCCTGATATTTTTTCTGCCCACTCATGGTAACAATTAAAATATTTCATCAAGTGTGTTATTGCCTCTAGGTTTAAGCTAGCCTATTATGTTTAAGAATTATTTTTCCCTACTAGGAAATCATATTAGTTTGTTTGGGCTGCTATAGCAAAATACCTTAGACTAGGGAGTTTATAAACAATGGAAATTTATTGCTCACTATTCTGGAGATTGGGAAGTCCAAGATAAACGTGCAGACAAATTAGGTACATGGTGTGGGCCATCTCTGCTTTATAGACAGAGTCTCTTGCTGCATGCTCCCATGGTGAAAAGGAAAGATTGAACCCTTCAACCTCTTTTATAGGGGCCCTAATCTCATTCATGAAGGTGGAGCTCTCATGGCTTAATATTTTTGAAAAAGCTCTATCTGTTCATACTGTCCCAGCTAATGAATTTTAGGGGAGGGATACCAAAATTCAGACCACAGAAGAAATGATATTGATTACTATCATCTATTAAAATGACCAAATATTTTCTCCTTTGACTTGTTAGTATGGTGATCTCTCTCTCTCTCTCTCTCTATCAATTAATCATCTATTATGCATCTATTTATTTATCCATTCATTTCCTAATATTAATAATCATTGTAATCCTGGCATAAAGCATGTTATTCATGGCATATTATTCTTTTTATATATTATTTTATAAGCACTTTGCTAGATTTTTGTTTAGAGATTTTTCATCGATCTTACCAACTAAACTTTTAAGATTATTTTCTTTTTTGTTCTACAGTTTTTCAGATTAGGTTTCATTGCTTGAATAGCATTGTAAGAAGAATCGGTAAACTTCCTTTCATTATTTAGGTTCTGAAACTGTTTACATATTAAAGAAATAGAAGTTTTAAGTTGTGAAGAAACTAACTGTCCCAGGATATACAATTAAAATATTTGTTTTTTTTTTTTTTTTTTTTTGGAGTTCTTGCCCAGCTATGGTGGCATTGTCACCAACTCTGCTCCGGTTACGATTTTCTAGCTCCTCTGATGGACCGGGCTAATGTATTTAGTAGAGACTTTTTCTTTTTTTTGGTTAGTGCTTTTGGCTGCCAACCAGTATCTTTTACTTCCCTTATAGCCATCCCTTCACTATGTAGAGAATTCTGAGTTGATTATGGTGCCAATGTCCTCAGAGTTAAGAAAACAAATTGCACTTCCCTTTTAGCCAGGGCACCCATGTAAAATAGCTTTGATTGGTGGTATGGAGATGGATGGGTGGAGCTTTGTAGAAAACTATTATTTCCTTAATAAAAAACGAAACTCATTTGGCAGTTATTTGTAGTCCTGGGCCTCTGCCTTTTCTGCCTAGAATATAGGCAATGTACTCAGGTTGCAGCAGCTCTGCTGTGAGCATGTGGATAAAAGCCATCTCCCTAAAGAGGAGAGAAACATATACCTGGGTTTCATTGCCCATCTCAAGACTCCTTACAGTGTGATAAACATAAACCCCTATTTGGTTAAGTCATGGCAGTCAGGTTTCTGATACATGCAACTGAATATAATTTCTAATCATAAGTAATTAATTTATGCAGGTTTTCTACCCTTTCTTGAATCAATTTGAATAACATTTTCCAGGACGTCATACATTTCAGATATATGAAAATATTTCAAATATAGATTTACCTTAAATGTTTTTATTTTACTAAAAATCTGTAGATAACCTTGTGTTTTCATTCTCAAGTTTTTATATTTGTGCTCTTATTTTTCTTTTTATGCTTCTATCTGGTTGTGAACTCTTATTTTCAATGAAGGAGATTTTGAATTTATTTATGTTATTGCTTTTTTCATGCTGTTTTATTTCTTTTCCCAGTCACATTTTCCCTCCAATTTTCAGTTGAATACTTAGTTAATTGAATTTAATTTTTAGGTATAGAGTGTAAGAATTTAGGTTAATGTATTTTCCTGAGTTTGTGTTCACTGTCCATTCTTTCCCATTTTGTACCCTCATTAACTTTATTTTCTAAAGATTTTAGTAAATGTAATTTTGATTACTTCTTTTATTATGTTTTGTTTTACAGTTTTCAACATTGTTGTGTTTTCCGCAATTTTGTGATTCTTATATTGCCTCAAGGTAAGATAGTGTAAATAATTTGATTCTTAATTTGAAGGATAGATGTAACTTTTTTGTGGCTTATATGCTTTCTTTATCTTATAGATACTTTAAAAAATCTTCTTTTTATTGAAGGCTGTTTATTTCAATTTCTATGTTTTGACTTAATCTTATTAATTATATTATTTAAATACTTTTTGTCCCCTTCTTACCACTTACCTATCAAGTTAAATCTCTTAGTACTGTTATTACCAATTACTCTTCAAATTTCTGATAATTTTGCTTAATATACATAAGTATTAAGTAAATACTAGTATTACAGAAACTGAATTTTCTGTTTTTCTGCAAGTCAATTAAATGTATAATTCTGTCATCTTGGTAGGAAATAAATTTTATTCAATATGGAGGGTTTGTCTCCTCTTTCTACCCTGTTGCCACTAGACTCAGGATGAGATGGGGGTGGGGAATCTTAAATACATTGCATGATAAAATCATGCCCCATCCCAACCTTTTGGTGGAGGAAGAAATGGAGGGCTTCTTAGCATCTCTTACCTGTCCATGAAGACCTATATTGAAGTGTGACTTGGCTGTTGGTCCATGAGAGCTGTTAAGGTTCTCCAGAGAAACAAACACTATATGTGTGTATACACATAAGATTATAGACATTACTACATAATGATGTTTCTGTCAATGTCAGTCCGCATCTATAGCAGTGATTCTGCAAGATTATAGTGGAGCTAAAAATTCCTATCACCTAGTGACATTGTAGATATTGTAATATTGTAGCGTAATGCATTTACTCACGTTTGTAGTTATGCTTGTATAAACTAACCTACTGTGCTGCCAGTTGTATACAACTATAGGGTGTTCAATTATGTACGGTACAGAATACTTGATAATGGTAATAAGTAACTGTTACTGGCTTAGGTATTTACTATAAACACTTTTTATTGCTATTTTAGAATGTACTCGCTCTACTTATAAAAAGAAAAGCTAACAGGAAGACAGCCTTAAGCAGGTCCTTTGAGAAGTATTACAGAAAAAAAGCATTGTTATCATAGGAGATGGCCCCTCCATGTGTGTTACTGCCCTGGAAAACCTTACAGTGGGTCAGGACGTGGAGATGGAAGGCAGTGATACCGGTGATCCTGACCCTGTGAAGGCCCAGGCTAATGTGTGTGCATGGAAGACAGTGATATTGGTGATCCCAACCCTGTGTAGGCCCAGGCTAATGTGTGTGCGTGGAGGACAGTGATATTGGTGATCCCGACCCTGTGTAGGCCCAGGCTAATGTGTGCGCATGGAAGACAGTGATATTGTTGATCCCGACCCTGTGTAGGCCCAGGCTAATGTGTGCGCATGGAAGACAGTGATATTGTTGATCCCGACCCTGTGTAGGCCCAGGCTAATGTGTGCGCATGGAAGACAGTGATATTGGTGATCCCGACCCTGTGTAGGCCCAGGCTAATGTGTGCGCATGGAAGACAGTGATATTGGTGATCCCAACCCTGTGTAGGTCCAGGCTAATGTGTGTGCCTGGAAGACAGTGATATTGGTGATCCTGACCCTGTATAGGCCCCGCCTCGGCCCCCCAAAGTGCTGAGATTACAGGTGTGAGCCACTGCTCCCAGGGAGTAGGAAAAGGTCTTCTTTCTTCTGAGTTTGAAACCCTCCATCAATTTCTTCTATGACTGCGGGGTGGGAGACTCATCCCCTCCTGACCCCTGGCCCATGATCCCCCAATGGCCGTAATCTCACTTCTCCTGTGTACCTTATAGTATCTCTACCTCAGGCGATGGGAATTTTCCTATTTTAAGGCGAGATAAATCTGTCTTCAAAATCTCAGTATTTTACTGACCTAGGGGTCTTTCCTGGTGTCCTGGTGTCCTAGAGACATCGGAGAAGCCCTCTTTTCTCTGTTTTAATAGTTACATCCCTTTGTTTTGTTTACGCAGGTATTGTTACAGTGATCTTCTAAAAACAGAAACTGGAGGCCAGGGGTTTAGTTTCAGAGGGGAAATTTACCTCTGTGTGTGTTTGTATGTATGTGGAAAAAAAAACAAAGTCGAAGCTGACTCAGCAGACCCCCTCATGGCTGAGGGGACCTCAGAGAAGACTTAGAAGCTGAATTCCTGGCCATGATGGGTTGGGAGGTGGGACATGCCTGCTTATACCCCCTTGCTAACCACCATTAGGCTTTCTTTCCTAAGGGTTCTACAGAAACCAGCACTTTGGAGAGACTTGCTGCACCCTAGATATCAACCAGTTGCCTAACACTGTCCCTCTTTTTTGCAGATTTGACAAAACAACCAACCAAATATCCTTCCTGATAAGAGACCACAGACCATGGAGTGGTTCTTAACTGTCTATACAGGATGCATAATGAGGTTTTTCATGTCCTCTGCTTCACCCTTTGCTATCAGAGGGCCAAAAAGTTCACCCTGGGATCATGTCGACGCTGCCATTCTTTGTACATGTGACTCGGATGGGGCATGAAGCTTAATTGAACATATGCACGTTTCTGCTTTTGTAAATATGTATGGCTCCTCCTATAGCGCATTAAATATGAATATTTGGTCACCCTGCTCAGAATAAATTCCCGTTCCCTTTGCCCTTCCCTTGAAATGTCTGTTTCTGGCTTCTGAAAGAAGGCTATGCTACCCCAGCTGTCAGAATGACCACACTGCAGTCTGCAAGCCTTTAGGAGAAATAAAGTCCTCCTTTCCAAATTTGTGAACTTCATCATTCTTAAGTTGACATGGATGTGGGTGAACATGCACGTGTGTGTGTTTTCTTTGTTTTTTTTCGTTGTTGAGATGGAGTCTCGCTCTGTCGCCCAGGCTGGAGTGCAGTGGTGTAGTCTCAGCTCACTGCAAGCTCCGCCTCCCAGGTTCACACCATTCTCCTGCCTCAGCCTCCCGAGTAGCTGGGACTACAGGCACGCGCCACCACGCCTGGCTAATTTTGTTTTGTATTTTTAGTAGAGACAGGGTTTCACCATATTAGCCAGGATGGTCTGATCTCCTGACCTCGTGATCCACCCACCTGGGCCTCCCCAAGTGCTGGGATTACAGGTGTGAGCCACTGCACCCTGCCAACGTGTGTGTGTTTTCTTCCTATAAAGTTTTTGACATTTTGACACTCTGACCTAATTTTAGGCATCAGATTTTCAGTTTTACATGTCTCTATTACAGGTAAGCATGAAATTGGGCCTGTACTCCCTTCTGTAACTTTTGCCTTCTTGATTTGAGTAAGACTGTTTGAGGGAGTTTACAATTTAATTAAAAGGCTATCTTGTGTTGGACATGAAACCTCAGGCTAGGAAAAAGTCCCTCTTACCTGTCTATCCCTTTGACATGACCATGAGTGTCTCCCTTAGACTCTTGGTCTGCAGTGGTGGAAGTGATTCCATGTGATTCCATCCACTGTGGATGCTGAAGTCCAGATTCCTCTTAGGACCAAGGCACTTATTTCCAGCTGGCAGTTCATTGTTGTGCAAGCTCACAATTGAGGCATGCCTGTGTAATTGCCCTAGTTTAAGGGTACTCTGTCCCCCAGGTTAGTCCCCTCCCAAGGACAGCCCCTACCCAAAACTGGTCCATGAATTCTGAAGGATCATTCAAACTTTAAAACTTCGCATGGCATAGGTTAATATTTTTGTTGCAGCTGCATTGAATTTCAACTCCTCCTTCCATCCAATCCTATTGACTTCACTTCCCCACAGGGTACTCCCTAGTGCAGGCTAATTGCCATATCAGAATCTTCTTCCTGTAGTAGCAGACCTAAGATACCATCTTCTAATGGAGCACTACGCTTTCAGAAAACTCTCATTCAGATTTTTAATTACAAATATAGTGATTTTCAAGACCTAGTGAGCTATTCCTATGTGTTTGAGTTTGCTTAACATTTTCTATTTCATCATCACTACTCCTTGAGATCACCACTATTATTATTCCCATTTTACAGATGAACAAATTGAGACAGAGGATAAATAGCTTGTCCATAGTCACATTCTACATTCAGTCTAGCCTTTTGTTAGAGATGAGTCAAGAGACAAGAAGTGCAGCCTTCAGGCATTCTTCCCTCAAATTTCTCAAGAAGGCCAGAAGGCCACAGATGCTGCATCTGATTATGTTTAATCCACTCCAAAAAATAGGACCCCAAGTAGAGGGCCTCATTACTCATGCAGAAAACTCTTGATTGTAAATCTTGCTTCTCTGAAATATGGGTGGCTATGATGTGATGCCAGAATTTTTTTGTTAATACTTCCTGCCGTGCTGCATCATTTTCTTGGACAGAGTAGAGTAAGTCTGTCTTTCATTCTGTCCCTATCTGAATATACTAGTCAAAATTCCTTGACATTTGTATCTGATGCTATTTTTCTCATTTCACTGATGATTAAAATGTCCTGCACCCTTTCTGCCTTCGGTCTTTTTGCTTGGTTTCTTGGGAGAACAACATAGGTTTTGAAGTTAGCATTTAAAGTGTCCTATTTAAAAAATAGTGTGGCTTTGTGTATGTAATGTTATTTTGTGAGCATTTTCTCATGTCACTAGCTATTTTCTGAACATAAAATTTGTATTCCAATTAATTAATATCATCCTATTGATGGACACAGGGTTGTGCCTACTTCTTTTTTTTCCATTTAATAATGATATGGTGTATTTAATTTCTACCTCCTTAAATTTTACTTAGGTTAGGTTCCTATAAATTGGATTACTGTGTCAAAAATTATCAATCCTTTGAAACTTTTGATAAATAATGCTAAATTTGTTTTCAGAGAAGCTTTTCTTTTGTCAATTTAATTTCTACCACCAATAAACAAAAATGCCTTTGCTTAGAAAAAAGTGACAATTTGATCTATTAAATTGTTGTATAATTAAATTTCCATTTGCTATTTGATTTTTCTTACTGGTCTTTTAGAATCACTTTAAGAACACTTACCTTTATTGTGTCACTCTTGTATTCAATGTGTTTCCCACTTTGCAGTTTGCCTTGGTGTGGACTTTGATTAGAATCTCTATTTCTGTTTTGTTTTATTTGATCCAGTTTTACTTCTTATGAAGAAAGATATGTTTTGGGTTATTATAGCTTTAGAGGGTATTTTACATCTGGGAGATAATCTTCCCTTCCCTTCCCTTCCCTTCCCTTTCCCTCTTTCCCTCTTTCTTTCTTTCTTTCTTTCTTTTTTTTTTTATTTTTTTATTTTTTTTGAGACGGAGTCTCGCTCTATCGCCCAGCCCAGGCTGGAGTGCAGTGGCGCGATCTCGGCTCACTGCAAGCTCCGCCTCCCAGGTTCACGCCATTCTCCTGCCTCAGCCTCCCGAGTAGCTGGGACTACAGGCGCCCACAACCGCGCCCGGCTAATTTTTTGTATTTTTAGTAGAGACGGGGTTTCACCATGGTCTTGATCTCCTGACCTTGTGATCCACCCGCCTCGGCCTCCCAAAGTGCTGGGATTACAGGCGTGAGCCACCACGCCCGGCCTTCCTTCCTTCCTTCCTTCCTCCCTCCCTCCCTCCCTCCCTCCCTCCCTCTCTTCCTTCCTTCCTTCCTTCCTTCCTTCCTTCCTTCCTTCCTTCCTTCCTTCCCTTTCTGTCTCTCTCTCTCTTTCTTTCTTTCTTTCTTTTTTTCTTTTTTGACATTGTTTTCCTGTTGTCATCCAGGCTGGAATGCAATGGCACATTATTGGCTCACTGCAACCTCTGCCTCCCGAATTCAAGCGGTTCTGCCTCAGCCTCCCAAGTAGCTGGGATTGCAGGCATCTGCCATCATGCCCAGCTAACTTTTGTATTTTTAGTAGAGACAGGGTTTCGCCATGTTGGCCAGGCTGGTCTCGAACTCCTGACCTCAGGTGATTCACCTTCCTCGGCCTCCCAAATTTCCCCTTATTTCAATCAAATTATTCTCCACAATTATCTAGAGTTTAAACTTCCAGATAAGCTTCAAAATCATTCTGGCAAATTATAAAATAACCAAGTTGGGATTTAAACATAATCTATCATTCAGTATATATACTGTATCAGTATTAAAAGAGTAAAAAAGAAACAGGTGTAATCCTTGTGTACATCAATAGGGGAATATTAACTAATTAATACATGAAAGAATTTTTAAAAAGAGGTACACTGAAAGTGGCATATTTCTAGGTGTAGTGTAGTAGAATATATTCATACATCAGTAAGGAGACAACCTTATTAGTGCCAGTGGCTTACATTTGTAGATGGTAAGGGATTAGATGGGAAGCATGACTACTGATTATGGATTTCTTTGAAAGACAAAAAGGAAGGTTTGGTTTGATTTGAAGATTACAGGAAGCTGTGTAAAGCTTTGAACAAGTGACTGATAATGATGAAATTACAAGAACTAACATTGATTATGTTTTTGCTACATGTCAGGAACTCTTCTAACATTACAATGCATCAAACCTGTGCAAGGATTCCATGTGGTTGTTTTTACTCTTACCCTATTCTACCTAGTGAAAAAGAGACACAAAGATCAAGTAACTTTTCTTTTTTTTTTCTTTTTCTTTTTTTTTTTTTTTTTTTTTTTTTTTTTTGAGATGGAGTCTTGCTCTGTCGCCCAGGCTGGAGTGCAGTGGCCGGATCTCAGCTCACTGCAAGCTCCGCCTCCCGGGTTTACGCCATTCTCCTGCCTCAGCCTCCCGAGTAGCTGGGACTACAGGCGCCCGCCACCTCGCCCGGCTAGTTTTTTTGTATTTTTTAGTAGAGACGGGGTTTCACCGTATTAGCCAGGATAGTCTCGATCTCCTGACCTCGTGATCCGCCTGTCTCGTCCTCCCAAAGTGCTGGGATTACAGGCTTGAGCCACCGTGCCGGGCCGTTAAGTAACTTTTCAAAGTTACGTACGGTTAAAAAGGAAATATGGCTGTAGAGTTTACACCCTTCACTGTTAATTTATACCTGCAATAGTGCAGAGTCTTTCTTTCCGTTACTACCTAGCAAGCACAAATGTAACAACACAAAACAAACACATCTGTTACAAGTAGATATTTTTCAAGACCAATTTTTTCCTCTCAAAAATTTCTGTGAAATAGAATAGGGACAAGTCAGTGATAATGCTTTCAAAGTTCATTTGAAAAAGCATCCAATTAATAGAAGTTTGCATTGTCATATCTGTGTTAAGAAAAAATGAAACAAACCCATTCTGCTTCATTCTGTATGACATAGGGGAATGGCTTTCCGACACTGCACCCACTGCTCATGTTAAAGCATTTCGGGCATGTCACTATGTATGTGCTTTTGTAGTCGGGTTGCCCTTGTTTCTTAGAAAGCAAATGTGTATTTATAAATAACACTTTAAGAATAGGCTTTATAGAATCTTGTAAGTGGTACTTCTGAATAGTTTCACTTTGCCATGGCTGTTTCTAGAGACTGGCTCTATTTTTACATATTCTATATAATTTGTATTATTATTATAATTAAACATACTGGCTGTTTGCCTTAGTGAAGTTTCTAAAAAGGCAAATAATGCTTTGCAAATGTGTTGACTAAATAAATTTCCAGAGAAAAAAATATATAGCTATGCCAAAAACATTGTGAAATTGTTAATAATTTAGCAGTTAATAATTTAGTGGCTAAATTACAGCACTTGGTGTAATAATTAATAATTTATAATTTAGTGGCTAACCTTACAGCAATTGGCTTCTAAATCCATATCCCTCATAAGTGGTAGTCTTGATTTTTGTTTTGAGGAGAAATCAGAAATAAAA